GCTCAACGCACCTCTGAAAGCGACTACAAGTTATTCCTGCAGTTCACATAGAGCTGTACAACCAGAGCTAACCAGAGTGGTGTTTAAAGTCCTACCTTGATCAAAAACTCTGGAAAGAATCATAATTCCTCACAGGGGGTTGATGTAAATATCCATAAAGATCAGCCTGTGTCCAGTTTAAGTGAAAGGATCCGCGCCGAGGTAAACTTAATCCAGCTGCTGCAGCGCAGAGGCGCCAGCGGTGTGATCGGTCCGGCTTTAAGAGCATAAACTATAAACCTATCTTCTATAAACAAATCTTTTAGGAATAAATCTGCTCTGCCAGTGAAACGCTCAGAACAACAGAGACACTTGCAATCTGGCTTAAAAAAGAAAAGAAAAAAAATATATATATTTTTTAAATTATTATTTTCCTAAAAACATACACAAGAAAGGTTTAGCCTGGCGGTGGCGCTAGTAAAGGATGGCGGGCCGCCAGGCCTATAATACTCTGGGGGAAACCCTGGAATCGAGGTTGGACCGAGTCCAGGAATGAACTGGAGTTCTGTTTCTGGGGTCTGAAAAGGTTCTGTTTCTGTTCACAGGGTCCAGTTCCAGAAGAACCTGCGCCGTCTGGTTTCGCAGCTCTACGTCCGGGACAACTGCCACCCGTTCAAAGCCAGCCTGCTGGTCTGGGTCCAGCTGCCGCTCTGGGTCGGCCTGTCTCTGGCGCTGCGGAACCTCAGCCTGGACCGGCCAGGTAGGGGCTGGGTTCTGGTTCTGCTTGGGTTCTGGTTCTGGTCTGATCTCTGTGTTCCTGTACAGCGCTGCATGGCGAGCTGGCAGCAGGGGGTGCTCTCTGGTTCCCAGACCTTACGGTACCGGACTCCACCTGGGTCCTGCCGGTCTGCCTGGGCCTCACCAACCTGCTCATCCTGGAGGTCGGTGTGGGGGCGGAGCCCGGCCACCTGGGCCGTGATGTCATCGCGCTGATGTAATCTCCTTCTTCTTCTTCAGGTGTTTTCTCTGCAGAGAGTCGGAGCGTCGCGCTTCCAGCGACTGGTTCTGAACGGGTTCAGAGGGTTCTCGGTTCTGATGATCCCCATCGCCGCCTCTGTCCCGTCGGTGAGCTAAACGGGTCAGGATTAGATCTGGATCAGAACCGGGTCCCGGGTGTTTTATTTTGAAGAGTCGGAGCTCTCTAACGTCCTGTTTCCTCCTCCCAGTCCTTGGCTCTGTACTGGTTCTGCTCCAGTCTGGTCGGGTTCGGTCACAACCTCCTGCTGCGCTCACCAACCGTCCGCAGAACCGTTGGGCTGCCGGCGCCGCAGTCCGAAACGCCGTACCGGGACCTGCTGTCAGCCTTTATCAGCAAGTACTGGAGGTAGAACCACCTGGCCGGGTTCTACTGGTACCACACTGGTTCTACTGGCGGTTCTGCTCGGTTCTACAGTGGAACCGGTCCAGAGAACATGGCTGCAGCTTCCTAATCGGTCTTGGTTCTTGTAGAACCGGGCTTCATGTGGGACTCTTTAAATGTTCTGGTGATAATAAAGTTCTGTGGTTCTGTTCGTGTTCGCCTGTTTGTTCTGGGTTCTGGAGTTGAAAATGTTCTGGGAATCTTTATTAAACAATAACAGGAAGAAAACACTCCCAGCTCAGACTGGGATGCTTCCTGTGTCCCAGACTGGGCGTCGGGGTCAAACTGGGATCTGAATGTGAGGAATGTGGGGGCAGAAGTTCTGGTCGGAACCGGCCGGTACCGATCCAATCAATAATCAGACACCTTTCAGCTCATCGAGATCAGTGAGAAACTCATTTGGATCAGGAAGTTCGGGCTGGTCTGGGTTCGGCTCTGGCTGTGGGAGGGGCCAGCAGCCTCATCAGCTCTCAGTCCAGATCAGACCTGTAACGCCATGACGTTCCGCCGCCTCTCGCTGCTCCTGCTCCCGCTGCTGGTTCCGGCTCTGCGGGCCGGGCCGGGCTGCGCTCCGTGTGACCCGGCGTTGTGCGCTCCTCTCCCGGCTGCGGGCTGCCCCGCCGGCTCGCTGCGGGACTCCTGCGGCTGCTGCGCGGTGTGCGCGGCGGCGGAGGGCGAGCTGTGCGGCGGCCGCAGAGCGGCAGCGCGCCGCTGCGGCCCCGGGCTGGAGTGCGTCAGGAGCGGCGACGACAAGCGGAGCAAAACCGGCGTGTGCGCGTGCAAGACCAACTACCAGGTGTGCGGATCCGACGGAACCACGTACAGGAGCGGCTGCGTCCTGAAGAGCGCCAGCATGGCGGCGCAGCGGGGCGGCAGGGAGCCAATCAGCGTCCAGAACAAAGGCCGCTGCGCCTCAGGTGAGACGGACCTCAGGTGTTATGTCAGTGTTCCGGTATTTAAAAGATTAAAGTGAAAAAATAATACAAATAACTTACAGAAAAGTTTTAAAGCAGCAAAAAAAAAAAAAAAAAAAAAAAAAAAAAAAACAAAAAATGAAAAAAAAACCCTTTTTCCCCCCATTTTTTTCCAC